TGAAGCGTGACATAGATCATCATCCATCCCGCTATGTCAGGAGAACTCGTGTTTTCTAGATTGGTGATCATCTCAAATGTGTAATCCTCAAGCAGAATCTTGCTACATAGCCTATAGCAGCGAGTGAATTCGGTGCCATGGTGTATGTGCTCGAGCTTACATCCATTTAGTAATGATGCTTCTAACAAACTTGTAGCAATTCTAACTCAATTAAAATGCAGATTATGAGAAAAGAAGTCATAAGGCCTCCTCCGTCTTAGTAATTCCCTGCTCCCACAAGAGGATCCGTAACACTGAAAATTTGAGTCCAAATTTTCCGTACTTCCTATACATACATCAAATATCATGTTTGAACGTGAGAATATGATTTGTTCGAATATTCGAGTATTCGATAGCCCATCGAATATACAAATTTTCAAATAATTGAAAATTAAAGGTCTCGAATATTGAACAAACGATTCGAAAATTGGGATTCTCGATTATTCCAATTTTCCATTCATTCAAAATTTCGGATTTTGAGTACTCAAATTTCCGAATGATGGTCGAGTGTTTAATTCGAATGGTTGAATAATTATTCAATTTGGTCCCATGAATATTATCCGCCCTAATACTGCAACAAATTACTATAAAAATATGCCCTTTACTCACCAAGTTGTTCTCCATCTCTAATGTTGTGTTGGCATCAACATGAAGATCCGGTTCACACTCTAAATTATAGAGGTTTGAGATTCTGACCGTAAGGCCCTGCGTACCGTAGTTCTTATTGATGGCATATTGTTCGAGTTTCTCCTGTTCGAGACGTTTCCATGCATAATCAGAATATTCTGGAACCCTCTATAAGTACGACTCATTTCGACGAACTGCATGATTGACGTGTATAATCTCCCCACCAAAATCTGTTTTTCTTTCGCCAACTCATATCTCAGCAAATCGCCCTTATTTCTCACAGGCGATACCGTAGGATCACTTGCGTTGGTCATCATCGGGGTGTTATTCGCTAACGGATGCACTTGCTGATACTGAAGTTGTGGAGACACAGGAATCTGACAAAGTCGACTAAATTGGGGGAAAAATGAACAAGTAGCACCAACTTCGGCGTTGCACACATCGGCCGGTGGCGGTAATACGGGGAGGTGCATTTGCTCCTCCGGTGGTGCTTTTGCAGGTTTTACAGGTGTAGTGTTCGTGCTCATCGGATGCCTCATTGAGTAGCTTGCACGGCTGTTGCAGTATTGCGATTCGATAAAAGCTTAAATATGGATTTATGAAGTGCATGGTAGTACAGCTAGTTGCCATCTGATCATGCGGCAGAAGATCATAAACTTTGGAAAAGAGGGCAAATGAGGACTCTCCCCCCATCTCTTATCCTCTCACCATTCCTCCCTCCCGTTTGAAGTATCAACGCCAGGAATACGAGGAGAAAGTGCAAGCAAATTCTTTTTTTTT